ATTTTACATCAGTAGTCTACTCAATACATATATTTGATTGTTAACCAACTTAGTTGTGAGCAAAAAATATTTACTCTTAACACTATATATAAAAATTAAACCCAATACTCAAAAATGATCACAACAACATCAAACACTACAACAATACAGCGCATAATAAATATATATATTTATAATAATTATCTTTTATAAATATCGTTTAAGACTAAAAATAATTCTATATATGATAACATTAATTCAACTATTGTTAAATATTTTGCGGCAAAATATAAAAGGAAATTAATTGCCGCTAAATATCTCTTTTGTCACAGAGAATATCTTATTTCTACTAGTTTTTATACTTTTTTTTAATTTTAAAATTACTTTTTAGAGGGACAAAATGAAAGAGAATAAATAAAATTTTCTTTAGCAAATTTGTATTCATGGATAGATGATTCCACAAAAAATATTCTAGGAGAATTATTTTGTAAAATAAAATCAAGAATTTTCACATTGATTTGCCAAGTACAAAATGCTTATCTAATAGATATTCTCATATGTATATATAAAGTGTATATACATGGGTTACCATGTCTTTATCACCCCAAACTTTTTGGACAAAGTGGAATGTACTAAAAGAAACATTATATTATAATATAAAGTAATAATAAATAACTTAAAGCAAAGAAATTATGTCACTTGTTGATTGAGACCAAAATTAGTGGATGGTGATTGTGTTAAATTGGAAATACATGTACTAAGGCAAGTTATTGGACAATACAAGTCTTGTGGAAATTCTTTTCTATCACCCCAATCAAGTTACATAATAGGTTCAACTCGAAGTATATGTATTGCCAAAAGTATAAAAAAAAATTTGCTAAAAATATTCAAGATATAATAATATATATGTTATATATATTTTTAATAGGTCGTGTGAAATAAATTTGTACAAAACAAAACTTTCATATTTAGCAAATATAAAAATCGTATTTGTATGTTATAGTTATAGATTGTAAAATTACGCTACATGACAAAGTTTATGTCTGTTATGTGGTTTTTGATTTGTATAATTCGCTGGATACATCTAATTCCATATAGATTATTCAATTTTGTATAAATCATTTATACATTGTAATTTTTGTATGATAAGATATGTATATGTATGATTATAAGTGTATAAAACGAAACTATATGTCTTTGTATTTGTATATACACTTTTCTCTCGCTTTATACAAACACAGACATATTTTATACATATGATACATTTGTATACCAAATGGGTAATTGTACATAAAAAATGACTAATTGTATACCGAATCAAATGACAAAAAAAAATGAGATATTTATCCTAAGTTATAAATAAAATAAATTTTGATTGTAACGTATAATTTGAATCAATAGTTTGCTTTTTTTATACGATTTTTTCTTTTTTATATACACGATACATTTTTCAACTAAGAATGCTCAACCGATCGGGTCAAACATAAAGATCATGATGATCATAGTTGAATTTCCACATTTGTTTGGGATTCTAACTTGCATTTCTTGGTTCAGCCCATTAAAAAGCCCAATATAAAAAGAAACATAAATTGGTCCAACTCAACTATCTAATTTCAATTATATTAGGCCCATTTGGTTTATCCTATTTATTTGAAGTTACGTTTTAATTTTATAATTTGCCGGACTTTAGAGAGGCTATTCTTCTTTTTTTATTCGAAGTTACGTCTCAATTTTATATTTTGCCAGAATTTAGGGAGGCTATTCTTTTTCTTTTTTTTTAACGGATTTAGTTACTTCACTTTCCCTAGCCGTCTATCAAAATAATAGTAAGTGAATATTATTTTTATATATGTAACCGTAAAACTAACGTAAGAGGAGTCTGAAAAAAATTAAATAGTGAAATATGAAAGTGATTAATTATGTTTAAGTATAACTATAAATTAACAAGTAATTTTGATAACTCTAACATTGGGCTTATAGAAACTTTTTGACTTATTATTATATATATATAGTAAAATGATGAAGTGATAAGACTAGTGTTGAAAAAATTTTAAACGATAGAATAATTTCTTGAGCTAAAGTCTGTTAATCATATAATTTTCGAGTTCTAAGTAATTTTTTCGTACTTAATTCTATTAATATTCTTGGGCTTAACTTGATGTGATAATAACTATGAACATTTTTTTGCAAACATTTTTTGTCGTTATTGTTATAACTTGAGTTTTTGATTTTTGTTCCTCAAAATATGCCAAAATCGTGCTAAGTTTTACAATTTATTTGAATCTAATTGTGATGGGTATGTTTTGTCACCTTGTTTAGTTCTAACAACATTGACAAATTATAGTTTTTATTTGCTTATCATTCTTTCGTGCCTAATTCTTGATTGGCTTATCTAGCCGATAACAAGGTAGTTGTATTTTTTTTTGTTGTGATAATTTTTTTTTATAACTACCTATTTTAACTATATTTTGATAGTCATATTCAATTCTTCTTTGAGTTTTCTGGAACTTGTTTTCCATGTTGGGTGATTAAGCTTAATGTTAGACGTTTTGTTTATTCCTTCAATATTTTTTTTTTGAAAACGAAAGAATACAATGAGAAAGATTTTAAATTAAACTACACGTATTTTGTTGTTGTTGCGGCACAAAAACAATACAAAACTCAATGAAAACATTTCACACAAAACTTGTCCAGCCAGACTATGCTGAAGAAGGAATCTGGATTAGGCCACCTCTCCGTCCGCCTCTCCCTCTTCCTTGTTGTTAATTGTCACCACCTCGTCATCCTTGATCTCTGCCACGTCCTCCAACAAAGTCATTTTTACCTTGCCCTCGACCTCCACTAAAGTTTCCATGACCCTAAAATTGTCATTTCGCCCTGCTCATTTTTCTGGAGGGAAGCGACCTATCCCGCTACCAACTTTACTTGTAATTCTCTTTATCTCAATATTAGCTTGAATACCTCCAATTATAACAGGTGACGCTTGTATCACACCATTCATAGATCCAAGTATAACAGGCGACACTTGTATCGCACTATTCATAGAGTTCAAATCTTCAAATTCGACAAATCCAAAACATAATCGTTGTTACCTATTACTTCTAACTTGTGTGCCTCCTTGTTTAGTGGGTCCAAGTCTCTTACCCATCAGATATACTTTTTGACCAACAAAAATAGTCTAAATTTAAAATTCTACTCCTGTCATATGAAGGAAAAAAATATATCAATAGTAGGATAAATAAGGGTCCAAGTCTCTTACTCATCAAATTTACTTTTTGACCAACAAAAATAGTCTCAGTTTAAATTCTACTCATGTCATATGAAGTAAATACGTATATCAATAGTAGGATAAATAAGAAAGAAGGAAATACATATATCAATAATAGGATAAATAAGAAAGAAGAAAGATATGTTTTATATAAAGAAAATATTTTCTTATAAATTATATACAATTATACACACCGTAGTCTTTTTGCATCCATTATCCACATAAAATAACACTCTATAGTAAATCTTTATTTATTAAAGAGACTTTGGACTTTGAAAGGAATCAAGTTGCCACTGTTGTTTTATTTGATTTACTAAGATCTAATTTTGCAAAATTTTGTAAGAGAAATTAAAATTTAAAGTATATTTCAGAATGTTAAAATTATTAAAGAAAATATAATTTATAGCAAAACATAACAAATATTGAAAAGAACAAAATCGAACCAATGAATACAGAGTGTACTATAAGAAAATTAATCTCTTCAAGTATTCGAGATTAATGAAATATATCCTTCAGGGGAATGAACTTACTCACAAATATATTATATTGGTACAAAAAATCACGACGTTAGCGAATCACTCGAAATAGTTAAGTACACTAGAATTTGTTTGTGCTGAATAAAAAGCGTTGTTAAAAAATTAAAGGAGCCCCCCCCCCCCCCTCCCAAATCCCCAATTTGCAGGCAACAAAGATTAGTATGAACATGTTATTATTGTACCTTATCATAAAGATCATAATACTTGGAATCACAACCTTTCAGAAAAATAACACTAACTCTTCAAAAAAAAGTCATACATGTGGACATTTCATTTCACACCCTCGTGACATCCTCTTCAATATCAATATCTCTCGGATCAATGTGAGCAAGGAACTCCTCCAAAGGAATAAATGAGACATCTTCTCCATCAGCATATGCTTTATTACGGCTCAATATAAATCATAACCTAGGGTATAGTCTCCAGTGTCTAGATAGAACGATTGCTTAAGTTCATATATATCAAATTTATTCGCATGAGAATAATTTATATATATTCGCTTATGCAAGATAGAGAATAAAATAAGAATATACGGTGTCGTTTGGTAGAGATATTAGGAGAAATAGTCCATGTATTATGTATGATATGATTTAATACTATGTTTGGTAAATTTTCTGGGCCTAGGTTTAGGTATTATAATTAAGGAGATATTATTCATACCTTCCATGTCGTGGTATTAGTAATACCTTGAATTTAATAACAGAGATTATCTATGTAAAGACAAAAATATCCTTGAAATAATTTTATTTATTTTCTTGATTTTATATTTTATATTTGTACTAGTAAATTTATTTAAATAAAGGGAAAATGGTTTGGTAAATACTTCAACTTTAGTTGAAATTGTTGTTACGATACCAAACTTTATGGAGGACATTTATCCATGAACTATTTAATAGTGTATTTTTTATGTGTCCAGGTGGACACATCACTATTTATAATTACGCAATTTTTTTTATGTCCATGTGGACACATATATATCTTTAAAATACACTATTAAATAGTGCAGGGGGTAAAATGCCTTTTCCAAAGTTTGGTATCGTAACAACAATTTTCGGTCTAAGTTCGAATATATTTCAGACTCTTTTCCCTTAAATAAATTAGCTTACGAATTTTATTATTTGAATAGACTTGTTTGTTAATAAATAAATGCAATAAATATCAATACAATATTTAAAATATGAGTTGTTTAATATTTACTAATTGAAAAGGCAAATATATCACCACATGACATTTGTGATCTTAATTGAATATATTATTTGTTGGTTTATATGTGGTTTCTAATTGTTGTATTTTAAACAATTTATAAATTGTGTACATATTGTCACGCCCCGGACTAGGGGAGGCGTGATTGGCATTCTACACCTTATGCAATCGAGTTAGCCACTGAAACCTACCAACTAGCTTAACTGTGGGCATTCTACACCTTATGAAGTGGAGCAACTGATAGCTGAATCATAAATCCTAGTGGAGAGGTTAATTAGAATCCTTATTTGGACCTGCATGCATGAAACAAAAACGCAACGTTTCCAAGCAATGGGACGTTCACGTGGATAAAATGTACTGGTATGTAAGGCAAAACATAGAATCATAAATAGCTAATAAAAAGAGTAATTAAGATACCACATGAAATAGAAACTCTGATAGCCTCCATAGCTGACATCCTACCTTATATTAATTAATAAGCATGATATGCTCGCATAATCGTATGTGGTGAATGCATATATATAGATGCAAATTGATGTCATATCCAACTAAGTGCTAGCAATTATGGTGTCTTCCGATGCAAACCGGCATCATTTTCGCCAACTTATGGCCATCGGTGTCTCATACGTATAATATAGGCAATAGGCCCCATACCTTGCGATTATAGCTCGAAAGGAGAACACGTAACATGTAATGTTATGAATTCGTAATGCATTTTTGTTACCTGAGTCATGTTGCCAATCTTGGGTCGCTCATACTCTTGTCCTCATAATCTCGTAATTACTTTTGTATCCGGAAAAAGGGTCTAAAATACCCTCAAAATATTGGAAATGGTATAAAATTACCCTCCATCCACCTATTGGGTCCAAAATACCCTTCCGACCCACTTATTGGGTCTAAAATACCTTTGTCATCCACCTTTTGGTTCAAAATTGACCACTTATTTAACGATTTTATATTTAAACTATTTAAATATTTTTAAAAATATGTGGCGCTCAACTATTTGTTATAATTTAATTTATTAGTATAATTATAAATCAATCCACTGCCCATCCATTACTAATTAGACCCTCCAAATTAATAAATCACTCACATTATTAATGCAACAATAGAAAAGCTACTGCCAATTGAGTGTTTTAAAAAATTTGAGGCGAAAATATCTA